GATTCATCCATGGTGGATCAACCAAAGTTTAGCTATGGCTTCGTAGGTTTTGCTTGTCTCTTTTGAACTGTGTTTGTCTCTCCTTCGCCAGACTGGAATCTCCCTGTATTAATTGCATGGTGGATACAGTTCAGGATAATTGATTTTAGTCAGGCGACGTTCTATCGATGAGAGGGTGGGGTTAATCCTTCCCGACTAAGGGAGCAACCAACGCCCCACACTTGACATCTTTTTGAGTAGCATAAGGAAGCTGTCTCCATGGGAGCAGTGGCAGAGGCTCTTCCAGCCCTAATTGGAAGAGGCGTGAGCTGCTTCTGTATTCGATTCTATAATATGAGCCAAGAGGGGTGAGCTGCTTCTGTATTCGATTCTATAATATCAGCCTCGGGCACTGGCCCCTTTCAAGGAAAAAACAAAAACAAAAACAAAAAGCAAACAGGCCGAGATTCTGGATCAATCCCTCCCTACTAATGCTACTACTGATTGCAGTCAGATGCATTGACTCAGGGAGGGAAGTGCTAGCGCCTAAGGCCTAGACCCCACAGGGATGCTGAAAGGAAAAACTTTGCCGCAGAACTGTTTCCCAGGACCCCACGGCCCCCCTTTTTTGGCCTGGAAAAGGCCAGGAATCCGTTTTCACTTTGTTCGCACCCTGGAAAAGCCCCGTGGGAGGAAAAACCGCCGTGACTTTGTGCCGAGTGGAGAGTGTCGAAGGGCGCAACATCTCGAAAGTTTCCAAGGTCTCCTCCCCCGGTCAGACAAGAAGGTGTCCGCCCATGGGTCTTGTTCCGCAAGTGCCGCCCCAACATCACCCGCTCCGGGACCTCACTGGTTTCTACACCGTCCCAAGATCACCCGCTACGGGACCTCACTGGTTTCTACGCTCCCCAGCTGACAACCAGGACAAAACACCAGTTTCCTCTTTGGGACGGTGGGCAGGGAAAATTCCTGTTAGGGAAAGTTTTGACATCATTTTGCCACAAAACTCACTCCACGGTGGGGTCCCCGCAGAACTCTTTCCAGAAGATGGAAACGACGGGCCGAGGTTCTGAATCAACCCCTGCCTACTAAAACTAGGACTTTTCTTACTAAGCTCTGGTCCTGAACCCGGTCAGATTCATCGGCTCGGAAACATGCAGGAAAATGCTAGCATGAGCATGCCTAAAATCGCCCTTTTCTGAATCAATCCCTTTCCACCTCTGCCAGGAGGGCTATTCAAGAAACTACTGGCGACTACCCCACCCTGTTTTTCTTTATTTTCCGCACCTTCCCGCCTTGTTTTTGTTTTCCTGCACCTTCATGCACAGCACAAACCAACAGGACGTCTTGCAGCCCTTCTTCCCTGGACCCATGGGCTTCCTTCCCTACAAGCCCGATGCCGAACCGTGCTTGGCTTCCGAATATGACAGCAAGTATTCGATTTTCAAGCGGGGTAAGCCTGGTAAGGAGCTGGTGAATTAAAACCTGCGGCCATTCGAATAGCACCTCGATAATTGGCAGGAGATTAGTAATAACAATACAGGGTAGCGCAGTCAGGATCTCAGTTTTAAATCCAGTTCAGGCATCCATCGAATACAACACATCCCGCACCTTGCCCCGCCTTCCTCCGCCTTAAACCTTCCTTCCCCTGCATTCCCCCACCTTCCGCTGCCTTCAACCCCCCACCTCCCCGCCCCCACCTTCCTGCGTCTTCAGTCCCCCACCTTCCCGCGTCTTCAGTCCCCCACCTTCCCCCACCTTCAATCCCCCACCTTTCCCGGGGGCCCGCCTTCCCCCCCCCCCACCTTCACCTTTCTCTGCCTTTTGGCTAAGATCAAGTGTGGTATCTGTTCTGATCAGTTTAATATCTGATCCGTCGTCCATCGGGGGCACCAGAAAACAACAATAATAATGAAAAATTCTGCCACCTTCCTTTCCCCGCCTTCCCGCACCTTGCCCCACTTTCCCTCCCGCGCATTCCCCCACCTTGCCCCGCTTGCCCTCACCTGCTATCCCGCTGCCTGCCTTCCTGCCCCCCGACTTGACGTACCTATGTTCACCCCACGTAATCGGTTGTTTTTGGAACTTCAACCCACATAATCGGTTGTTTTGTAGAGCATGAAAGTACCTATGTTCTCCCCACGTAAATTACATTCAGTAAATTCAACCCAAAATATCAAAAGAAAAAAGGGGGGAAAAAAAAAAGTAGTCTAGAATTGCAACGCAACCAACATTTGGCTGAGGGCCACTTCAGAATACCTTGTAAGCTCCTCGCTTACTGGTTTGTGGATTGGTTCGGACTTCGGATCAACCAGTTGCACAGATTCCACTCTGATGTAAGGGACAACTCCGGACCCATTTTCCGACCTGCGTAATACAGACGGCAATCCCATGTGGACATGCTGGAGGGCACAGGGCACAATGCAAAGCTTGCTTTTTCTTCAAAAAAGGAAAAAAAAAACAAAAACCCTCCCCCCTGAAGTTCAGAAGTAAAAAAAGAGGACATTATGGACATATAATAAAACTGAATCCCTTTTTTTCAAAACATCACCGCTTCTCGCCTAATTCACCGCCTACGTGCCCTTCACGCCTAGTCATTCCGAATAACTTTACCCCCCCCCCGTCTTACCGCAGCTGCTGCCACGGAGTTAGCCGGGACTTCTTCTTCGGTCTTTGTGATAATCTCACTACCCATGAAAGAGCTTTACAAGATAAATCCCCTTCTTCACTCACGCGATATTGCTGGATCAGGCTTTCGCCCATTGTCCAAGATTCCGCACTGCTGCCTCCCATAGGAGTCTGGGCCAAACTCTCACCAAAACATAAAACCCGCGTCATGTGGCAAACTGCAAGTCCAAGTGTCCAACCATGTTTATCAAAGGCGACAAATCGCCGACAATCGAAGCCTACATGAAGAGTTCAAAACACAGTAGAGACAGCTACACCCCACTTACGGACATTAAGGTTAAAAAAAAGAAAAAAGAAAAAAAAAACACCCTCCAGAGAAGTTCGGACCAAGCTCTAGATCCTACAGCTCGGATCTGACAATCCATCAGGACTGACAGATGCGAGGAGAACGCAAGGAGAACGCAACAATGATAGTAGACTCTTCTGAGCAAGAAAACCAGGGACCCGTTGCAAGGAAGTACTAAACACCCGTCTCAGGCCCCAGGGGAGGGAAGGGTTGAGTGGGTAAATTAAAAGTGTAACTTAATTTGTGAGCGACACTGAGCCCAGTTTCCTATGCTGCCCTCAAGGAAGTTTGGGAGAACCGTCCGCATGCTTCTTCGGATGCCCACAGATGTCCCGTATACAAGCAGTGCCGCCATGGATTGTTGAAATACAGACCTGACTTCTAGCTATACCAATGGATAGTCAAACTCAGACCTGAGTTAGAATGCAGATGGAACTCAATCCAAACGCATCAAATTTATTAGGCCTTCTGCCCTCCTTGGAAGAACGTCCACGAAATTGCAACAGGAAGTCTATGAAATTGGAACCCCTGTCGAAATGTTTAAAATCGAGACCATTTTGTAAACTACCATACCTTTTTCAGGGAACAAGAAGAGGATAACAAAGTCTTAATTTTCAGGATTTTTTCAGGGTCATTATAACAAACGTCCCATACCTTCTACGCCAGACTACCAGTCCATAGAGTGGACACCAAATAAACCAATAGCAAAATTTTGAAAAAAAATGATCAAAGGGGCCTCAAACCCCAAGGCAAAAGTGCATTTTCATGCAAAATTCCCTGTTTTCAGTTTCCGGGATTTTCAGGATTTTTCAGGGCTGGCCAAAACAGTGAACTCCAAAACCCCAACAAACACCAAAATTGGCACACACAGACCTTGACCAAAAATAAAACAGTGCAAAAAAAAAAAAAAAAAAAAGAATCTGGAAAAAATGATCTCCAATGCGCTTTTCAGGGTTGGGGTTGTTACCTTGGGCCTGAATAGTGGGGGTCCCTGGAAAAAAATGATCTCCAATGCACTTTTCAGGGAACCAGGCACTTGATTTGTATTTTTACACCGTGGTGATACTTTTTCCGTGGAGCTTCCCACTCGCACCAAGAGCCACAGCCCCCTCTGAAAGATTCACGGCCGCACAAACTTCTACACAGCCCATGAGGACAGCGACGATTTACTGGTGGTCTTTTGTTAAAATAAATCATGTGCAATAATCGGTCAGCATACCAAAACCCTTCACTCCCTTTAAAACAAACAGAATGTCGAGCAAAAAGCCATATACTGAGAAAGCAAAAATATTTTGCTGAAATTTGATCCCCTCTGAGGGGCCGAATTTAGTTCACAACTTCATAATATTCCCCCCCCGACCTATCGCGACACCGTTCATCACAACCTGTATTAAATTCTACAAAATCCTACTCCCTTTTAAAACAAACCCGATCAATCATGACACTTCATCACAAGCTGTATTAAATTTTGCAGGAATTTCACATGAGATATACCTATAATGACCGAGCAGTGTCTTCAGGCACAGACGGTGTCCTGATAGATTGGGTGGAATAACAAAAAAGTACCTGTGCAGCATTAGAGGGAGAAATAGGAGCGTGGGAGGGGGGAGGGAGGAGGGGAGCAATAAAGTAGCCATCGGCGGTTTCTTCACAAACACACAGATCTGTTCACGAGGAGGGGATGCCCAAACACTCTCTTCGCAAAATGACAGGAAAAGTAACAAACAAATCTCAGCAAAAGGTCGCCACCACTGCCCATTAAATGGTAAAAGGATGGACTACAGTATTCACAAGTAACAAACATTCTGCATTTAAATGCTGGCAATTGAGCTCCTCGATATCGGCGGAAATGTGCTGGCAATTGACCCCCAAAATACATGTACTCATGCTCACAATGCAAACACAGGTTGGCCAAAATCTCTACTGAGTTTACCCTTCCAAGTAGACTGTAGGGTGTACCCTTCAATTGCGTCAATTGCAACCTACTAGGCATGATACCATACACAAGTACAACCTTCCTTCCATATCTAATCTCTTCTCGAAACTCCCAACGGTTGAAATTTGATTCACTGACAGATCCAAAGAGAGACACTTTCAACTACTCACCACTCGATCTTGGATGTATGCACACTTGCACAGCCGCTCACCTCTTTTCTGCTGACAATGTCCACATGTCACTCACTGTCTGCAAAGTACCTCCGTATCCTACCCCCTTGACAGAAATTCGTACTCCCTTCTACGCACAAACTACTGCCGACCATTCTCTAGGGTGGGAATTGGTTTGCCTTGTCCATCCCGGCAATAAGTTGCACATATACAAGCCTTTCCATCTACATGTCGCAATTTATCTACATGTCGCAATTGGTCGTTGATCCACTGGCGTTTGACTTCTTACCATCCTGCGCTTACAAGTTCAACCCAGATCTCGACTGTGTACCAATCATCAGATATTAGGAGCAGAAGGCAGAACCTAACCCTCTCTACAATAAACCCACAAATATTTGTGGTCAACCGTCTGGCAAGTGAGCATGTGTCAAATCTGTCAGGTGAGCCACAATACATACCATCCTCAGCCAAAGAACTCGATTGAGTCGACACGTTAACACAAAACCTCATGATGCTAACAAATTACTACACTAACATACACCATACACCGTAAGCTGTATGCACACAACCGCAAGCGAGTGCTTTTCTCCCAGGCCAATGGCCACTTCATTCCCGGAACATAAAACACAGAACTCTTGCGCAAACCGTCCTCTCACTGCGGCAATCTATGTACAACACCGTTCTGCCAATACACACCTTGCCAGCATATTGACCACATTCTCGCTCAAATTTCTGATGAACACCCAAGTGACCCAAGTATATGCTCCTGTATCAGTGGACTAACAGACACAAGGCGCTAGTGTACACAAACGACTATGCACTAATGTACATAAATTTGTTGGATCTCCCAGTTAACTTGCCTATCATTCATGAAGTAGCCAATTTTAGAATTTGCAATTAACTAAACGCAACTCATATAAGCATTGTATGCATGCGATCATCAAAATAATCTTGGCTCATTAAGTCTAGTTATCTTTGCAGCAAACTCAGTCACTCCCACATACAAAGGCCTTACCATCCCTCACATATTTTTGAAAATGTCTCCCTCCCTCCATAACCCAGCAGGTTTGGCCACTTCCCTCCATATCCCCGCACATGAGGCCACAACCACAAGCAAAGGCCTTCCGCCTTCAGGCAATGCCATAGCCTTCCTCCATACGTCAACGAGCTCAGTCACTTGAACAGGCAAAGGCCCCATGCCCTTCGAAACAGTCCCCCCGCCCTCCACATGCCAGCAAGCTCCATCACTTCCCTTCCCCATGCAAAGCCTTACACCTTCGGAATACTCCGGAGAGTCCCTCTCCCTCCATATAGAATCTTCTGCTGAAGCTGACCTCTTTTCTTCCCTCCATTTCCGTATTCCCTCCCTCTTGACGTCACTGATATGGACCACTGCAGCACTGCTGCACTGCAGGAAATTACTGCTCTGCAGCAGTCCATTCCCCCTTCCATTGCTTCCGACATCATCATGGCCCAGCCAGTACACGGGAATAGGTGACAGGCTGACAGCTTGCTCCATCTTCTTGAATTGTTCTTCCTCAAACCACCCATTGCAAGGTGAGAGTGGTGCACAGTCAGAGCTTTGACGGAACCTTGCTGTTGATCTGGATCGCATTGCTCCTGATATCACCGAGTGTCCTCAGCAGGGAGAATCATCCAGTGTTGCACAGCCATCACAATGACTGGCATGGTGGAACAGAGTACACCAACTCCACGAGGTAAACGTGCTTTCAAGCTATAGCCTATAGGCCCTTACACAAATATGTAGTGCAACATTGAGGGGATGGTGTATGGCAGAACACTTGCGAATCTTTGAGCGTAGTAATGGTTCTGGAGGCGCCTTTGTTTGGTGTGGATATGTTTCTGTGCCATAGACTTCCATTACACAATCATGACTGCAGAACCATCTCAAACCCCGTACACGCAGAGCAACATGGGCGCCGCAGAGCAACATGGGCGCCGCAATGCCCGCACTGTGGTTATGCTTAACAGTGTTAACACTCCGAAATTTACACTAATACTATGGCCAACATCTTATGCACAAGCTCCATGCATTCTCATTCCAAAACTTCAGTTGGAATCAGAGACTGCAGTCTGCAGACCTGAGGTGATAAAGTCGTGATTAACATGGCCGCAGAAGGAAATCCTCACACAAAAGCAATCTAATCAACACTGGTGCCCCTTCCGTGAACCCCAACTCCATGAACCACTCCACACTCCGGCAATCATGGGCAATGTAGACAATGTCACCCCCCTCTTCAATTAACAGACCCCGTTGCACAGAAAGCTCACAGCATTGGTGGCCCGTGGACAGCATGGCAGAGCATGCGACGGGATGCAGTTCACAACAGCACAACTGTTACAGCACTCTGTGAAGTGAAACTCGAGGGCTGCGGCAGCTGACCTGTCGCATCTACAACAATTTTAGGACTGAACTGTGGTGCTGCAACCGTCACTTCCATTTCTGCTGATACCCGGACGGCCTGTCAGTTTGAAAACCGTGTCCAGCTTCTCCATGTCCGACCGATCCAGTTCAACCTCTGGGAAACAAACCTTGTGCTGCTCACAGTCGAAATCTGCTCTAATGCGCAGTCCAGAATTGTTCACTCCACAATTGCTAGTGTCATTATCATCATCATCATCATCTGGAGAAGACCAGGGCAGAGGCTCGGCAGCAGCTGCTTGGAGAATCGACTTCATATCTGTACAATACACCTCCCACCAGCAAGCCACCAGCTGCTGAATGGCCTTGTGATCCATGTTCTTTTCTCGAGGGTCGAACCTCCACGGCTTCGATCCAGTCACTGAGAAGTGAATCAGCTTGGCCTCATCCAGATTAACCCTAGTAGGATGATTGTACAAGAGCGGCATCAGCACATTGTATTCATTTGGAAGGATCTTGATTCTTCTGCAGAAGTAGTCGTTCAGGAAGTCCTGTTCAGCCAGAGGTGTGGGCTCATACTTCTGGAGTTGGCTGCACATATCCTGCAGGACAGCTTTGCTCGGCTCAAAGACAAAAAAACCAGCGTTTATATATGGTGCTGGCAAAGGCAGCTCCAACGTCCATGGATGTGTATCGGGATCCACCTGGCAATAACCCTCCCCTCTGATATGCCCACAAATAAAATCGGGGTCAGGAAGACAGGCACAACAACCAAAGACAGAAACATTCACAAACACACATAGGTGTGTGAGAAACACTGCAACAGCACATGACGAGTCTCGTGTGCTCTCCTCCCCCTGCTACAGATGAGGGCACAGTGACAGTACCCACTAACGTGCCATAAGGCCCTTGACGATAATAACGAATAGAGTCCAAAATGATCTTTTATGAGACTGCGCGGGTCTAAAATGATCTTTGAGAGTCGTGAGATTGCTCAGGTCCAAATAAATAGAGGCACGGAACGGACCCTTTTCGAGCCCCTCTTGAGACCAGGTTCTCTCAAATACCAGGATCCCATTTTTTTCCTGTAGAGGATGATCATATCGGCAAGTTCAACTGAGAGAGAGAGAGAGTATTAAGGCATGGCTTTTCACAGCCCATTCCCGACTGGGTCCCTGAAAATGTGTATCGCAAATGGTAAGGAAGTTAAGAGGAACGATGGACAGCCGGAAGCAAAATGTATCATGGTGCCGATTCATCTGCCCTCACATATTACGCAAAAAGTCGGCGGCAACATCATAGGCACACATAGAAGAGAGCGGCAGGCATTGGCAGCCACTTCCACAACTGCTGAGCAACACTGATAAACGTGCAAGGAAGGGAAAGGAAACAACGATTCAATACTCGTTAATCATCTCTACGGTCTCTACCCAAACCTGTGAGATATCCCTCAACAGACAACTGTTACAATGAATTATGCCTAGTTCCTCAGGCAACCAAGGGGGGCGGGGGGTGGGGAGCATGGGGCCCCGGCAGCTCCGTTGGTAGCCCAGCTCACAACTCTATTCCAGAAACAGCCCGACATACTGCATTTAACATTTTATGCAAGGCAGCAGTTTCCTGGGAACCCTGGCTAACCACAGGCGCCTCACATCATCAACCCCACCAACTCTTCCTGAAATAAGACCAGACTGAAACCACAGGCGCCCTCACATTTCACATCATGGGCCTTCAATACATTAAGAGAGCCAAATAAGGGAAACAAAAAGAAAGAAAAGGAAAAAAGAACAAGAAAGAAGAAGAACAAGAAAAAAAGAGGACGTACATAACATTAGAGCTACTGCACGCACTAGTCCCATTTAACATTTTATGCAAGGCAGCAGTTTCCTGGGAACCCTAGCTAACCACAGGCGCCTCACATCATCAACCCCACCAACTCTTCCTGAAATAAGACCAGACTGAAACCACAGGAGCCCTCACATTTCACATCATGGGCCTTCAATACATTAAGAGAGCCAAATAAGGGAAACAAAAAGAAAAAGAAAAGGAAAAAAGAACAAGAAAGAAAAGAACAAGAAAAAAAGAGGAACATTAGAGCTACTGCACGCACTAGTCCCCACAAAAAGACGTTGCAAAAAACCGAAAAAAAAAAAACTCCACAAATAAAAAAATGCGGAACGAAGTGCTCGTCACCAATCCTATACATAGCAAACTTCCGAAGTAACATTCATTCATTTGTTTCGAGGTCTTCAGTCGAACTCCCTTGTCTTCGTGAAGGCATCAACATGCACCTGAACTCCCTTTTCTTTGTGAGGGCATCAACATGCCCTTTTCTTTGTGAGGGCATCAACATGCTTACAAGTGCTATCACCATGCATAAGTGTAACATTCAGACCAACATCCATAGGATCCAGCTAACGACATCCAGACACCGACTCACCTGGACTCAGGAATACTGTGGTCAGGAACACTACTCGAATGAGTTGAAATCACAATACCCAGGTGGCGACTCACCTGAACTTCCACAAATTCTTTGGCCGGGAAGTTGATTCAAATCAAGACCAAAGGCCAATCACCCAACTTTGGCATACGTTCTCTACAAAACTTTCATGCTCAGGCAACTTGAATCGTGAGATTGGTGGTCAGAAAAACTTGAAGCTCAGAACAATCATCCAACAAGATTAGGTCATTATTTCTTCCTTCCTAGCACACACACATAACTTGAAGCTCAGAACAATCATCCAACAAGATTAGGTCATTATTTTTTCATTCCTAGAACACACACATGACTTACGACATGAGGACAGTGGACACCCTACTATCAACAGGGCAGGGCATCCATTCTGAGACTCCCTGAAACTTTCATACGGCAGGATCACATCATGACGTACATACTACTGTCCAAAACAACCATCCAACATGCATGTGTACGCACAAACGAAGGAATGCGTACGGGCAAATGAAGGCATTCGTACATGCACAAAATGAAGGCCATGAACACAGACATCCGGACAGAGAACCACCCAGACAGACAGAAGAACACCGCGAGACAGTCGAAAACATCATGATCCAAAAGGCAGGGCCTACGCACAAACGAAGGCCATGACCCGACAGACAACCATCCCGACAGACAACCACCCGCCGCACCCGGACAGACAAACACACACAAGCACAACTCGGACACGGAGGTAGGCGGGCAGGTAGACAGACAAACACAAGGCAAGGACAGCCAGGCAGACCAGTCGGCCACCATCCAGCCAGCCAAACAACAGGCAGACAGACTAGCAAACAGGCAGAGTGGGGTCACAAACAGCCTTAAGAGGCTGAGACAACGGCGAGAACCCCGTCCTAGGGGCAGGACACTGGACTAGTTATTGAGCCCCCGTTGCTGCATGACGGACTGGAACTTCCTCCAGAAGCCATCTGCCACCTGCGTTACTTCAGCTGCAATGAAGCAGATCTCATTCACCAGCCAATCACAGACACTGATCAGTTCATCACGGGGGACACCCTGCACCCACAATTTTATACGTAAGAAATAATGATATCATAAGAACTTCACCTTATCCAAATGCATTAGTAAGCTTGAATAGAAATGATATAAGCAGTCATTGAGGTTATATGCACCGGTTGACATAAAAGTTTTTCAGCATACTAAGATATTAGTAAGTACAATAATCAGTGGTTTACGTTCATATGTCCAATCCAATAACAACATTCCCATAATGTATGATACTGTCTCTTATACACATCTAGATGTGTATAAGAGACAGCTATTAAGATATTAGTATGTACAATAATCAGTGGTTTACGTTCATATGTCCAATCCAATAACAACATTCCCATAATGTCATAATAATTCCAGTATATCCAACTGCCTTAGTAGGTTTGAATAATAATGATGAATATAGTCAGTCATTGAGGTTGTATCTTTTGCATAGTATATATTAAAATACATTAATAATAATACCCTACTCGATGGTTTAGCTTCATATGACCATTCCAAAAATAACACAACGAATTCTCGATAACAACTCGCTGCTTCAAATTCACATTATGATTAGGATCATAGTGATTTGTGCCGAGTGCCGTACCTTCTAGTAAATGGCATAGATTTTGGCATGACAACAACATAATTAGTGGTCCATGCAAACTACGTTGACAATAATAAATGCAATAATGTACCTCGTGATGAAACGAACTACGGCAGGGAACTGTGCAATAATCGCTCCCGGGGCTTCCCTATCAAATGCAGAACTACTGCTGCCCTACATTAGCCTGCCGCTACCGTCTTCCCCGAACACAACGCGCCCTGATTACGACTGTACCCAACTAGAAAGATAGCTTGTATACATACTATCCGGGTGCGTTATGTTTGAGGAAGACGGTAGCCTAAGACAGAATCCCATGCCTAAAATACTCCCATGCGTAAAATACAGAATCCCATCCCTAAAATACAGAATCCCATAAAATACAGAATCCCATGTGAATCCATTTATGCTTGCACACAATAGAATCATTTAAACTGATAATACGCTCAGTTTTCAAGCGTAAAGACATACGGTAGAGAAGTATACAGCGCACGTGGAAGGGAAGAATGATTAAAGTGTGGGTTATCGTTTCGGATGGGTTGGGAGAAAAACGCAGGGGCAGGTGAAAAACAGTTTGGTGTTTGGACTAAAGACGAGTAGAATCCCATTTGACACAATTCACGCTTACAGGCGAGAGAATCATTTAGAATAAAATACGACAAATTTTCGAGCGTATGTCTTATATACAGTAGAGAAATATATAGCGCATGTAGGAGGGACAAATGATGAAAGGGTGGATTATCATTTGGAAGTCATTTAGAATGATAATACGCACAGTTTTAAACGTATGTCTTATATACTGTGGAGACATGTACAGCGCATGTAGGAGGGATAAACGATGGAGGGTGGTTTATCATTTCGGATGGGATAGGAGAAGGACGCAGGGGCAGGTGGAAAACAGTTACGTGTTTGGACTCAGAGGGACGTCTTGCGAGGGTATGCAAGTACAGCAGGATGGAGAGCGTGTATTCGGGAACATACGATCATAGAAAGCGGAGAGGGGACGAAAGGGGAAAGAAGAGGGAGGGGGCGGAGGAGGCGGAGGGGCACCTGAGGGTGTTGGGGGGGTGTCGGGGGTCGGGCACATGGTCCTTCCCTTACCTGCAAAGTTCCTCACAATCAACTGACAGGCGGGACATTGGACGCTCACATCACACAGAAAACGAATGGAGAAACGCAATCGAGAACAGACTGTGCCGCCTCCGAAAGACTTTCCGAGGGCATTTTCCGGTTTCCGTGAGTGTATGGCAGTGCACTGAGAGCGCTCATAACACGAGGACGATCGCTCGAAGGACCAATGAATTTCTTCGGCGAAATCAAACAAACCGGTGTCGAAGGAAAAGAACACAACAACTCAGCCCTGAGCACGAAGCTCCAAAGGTCATACTACCCAAAGTTCATCCTCTTGATTCCCTAAACGTCATCCTCTTCATTCCTCTGAATCCCCCAAGACAGACATCTCATCTCACAACACCAAACTTTCCCCCATCCCTTTTCTCCCAAAAGATACCCGAAAACAATTATTGTTCATTTGCACTCTTCTTACATAAAGAGGCTGACACCATTTGCTCAATACTTCACGACTTAATACATCCTTGATTCTTTCGTCAGAAGACACCGAGAACCGTCCATTCATTAACCTCCCCCTTCGCACCACCAAAATGTCCGGCCTGCATGTTCACTTACAAGCATGCTAGACGAAACTAAGAGCACGCTGTCACACAAATAACTTTTCTCTTTTCCGATATGAATGACCGAATTTAGCACCAGCATTCAACTCCCCCTTTCATCAAGAGCACTGTTCCGATATGAATGACGGAATTGAGCACCAACATATTCTGAATAAACCCCAATGCTACCCCATAATATTCAATTTCAGACCATGTACGAAGTATGCACTTTCATTACGATACCAGTACGATTCCATTCACAAAAAATGCCACAAACTCGTGCCGGACGGGAAGATGATTGGGCCACAACGATCGCCCCTCGAAATCCAAAACCTCGACGCCACTCCATTTCTCTCCTACTATCGACACGCGTTCTGCTGATCGTATCTTACAGGTTGCGTGTACAGTCAAATGACTGCCCCTCGCATTCACAGAGGTAAGATCGTATCTTACAAGTTGCGTGTACAGTCAAATGACTGCCACTCGGATTCACAGAGGTTCCGACGAGGAAGAGTTGCCTCTGTCCACCACGACTGGAGCATTCCGCGATAAATACGGAGACCCTCTTCAAGCCGTCATGCGCCCCCGTACGGTCAAACTCCCATAATCTAGCAGTTGTTGCCTTACGCGAGCAGAACTGTGCGGGTCATTAAAACGGGAGCTCGATAGAATCGGAGACGAGACACACGCGATCTTGTCGGCTCTGTTCTGCCTGTGATAACCTGTGTGCCGTCCGCACCTGTCAAGTGCACCTGGCCCCTTATGCCATGGAGATGCGGAATGCTATGCTATACCTCCAGAACAGAGAGTCTGGGTGTACCAACTAGGTACTATACCTCAAGAATACCTTTGGGAGTACCTAGGTACTTCTCCCATTTACCAAAACCACCGCATCATGTTCAAAGAAAACATCAGCAAAACGAAAAAAAGCTTTGCGAGTCTTTGAAGCCGCCGAATACAACTGCACCCCAATGATTACCAATTAACCACCCTTCAAGATGCACATCAACGATGATCGGATCACCGCACCCACCACAGTTCGAGGCCAAGCCTCCAGTCAAATAAGGGCGCGAAGGCCACTCTGGCTTATTTATTTATTTCACGGATGAGTAAGCCAGGTGAAAAAATGGGTTGAATTCATTCATTCCACTGTCGAGTGGTCATCAATGCACCTGACCTCATATGCTATGCAAATGCACAGTGCTCTGATACACCTCAAAACAGTCCGCACTTCAGCCGCTGACACAACACGCTACGACCACTGCATAGCTGCTGTAGCTCGCAGTCTATAGATAGACTCTGGTTCACTAAAAATTTGTTCGGGAGCGTTCCGGAGCAAACACTGAAAACGGCCGGGGCCTTTCAAAAGTTTCAAGTAATTGCTCTCCGATACTTGGACCAGCAATGACATCCCATTCCACTGCACTAGACTTGCAAGCTGACCATCCGCGAAATTTGAAGAACCAGCATGCTTTAGGCCATGCTCACACTACACTTTTCCGGCTGAGAAGTGGCCGTGATTGCCGTCAGATGCATCCACGTAAGGCTACATTGAAGCCACATGCATTTGCGAAAGAGCAAGTGCGAGTATGCCCTCACAACTTCAGAACGGCATACTCTCGCGAAGTGTTACACGATGCTCTATGCCTCCGCACGATGCTCTATGCCTCCGCATTGTGAAGGTGATAGCGTTCCCCGTCTACACAAGGGCTACGCCTCCGCGCTCAGAAGGAAGATCAAGCGTTCCACTTCTTCCCGCAACACTAGAACATTAATCTGCCAGCTGCTACATCCTTCGCGAAATTATGAAAAACAGCATGTCATCAACCCTGCCGACATGGGTCTGCACGGTACACACGGACAAGCCGACATAGGTCTGCACCGTACACACGGACAATTCATCAGCTGCAACGCGTCAGTGAGGGGTGCGAGGACGTCCTAGCAAAGGTGTCTGGGTCCACAGGTCCGGTTTGTTGCACTGGCCAGAACGCCCCTGTCACCGTACACCCTAATATACTCGATGTGCTGACCGGACGGTTTGGACATGTGCTCGGATGAGCTCACCGGACAGTCGTTTTTTTTTTTTAATTATCATCGGTGACAGACTACTACCCGGCAAGCGGTAAGAGCACCTGGGGCCTGGTCACACTAGCAAAGAAGATTGGATCAAATTCCTGAATCTGGATGTGTTCTCCGCAGAGATGCAGAAAAGAAGACCAATGGCAACTTTTGCATCTCTCCACAGACACGTCCAGATTCCTCAATTAAACCCAATCTTTTTTTTAATTATCATCGGTGACAGACTACTACCCGGCAAGCGGTAAGAGCACCTGGGGCCTGGTCACACTAGCAAAGAAGATTGGATCAAATTCCTGAATCTGGATGTGTTCTCCGCAGAGATGCAGAAAAGCAGACCAATGGCAACTCTTGCATCTCTCCACAGACACGTCCAGATTCCTCTATTAAATCCAATCCTCTTTGCTAATGGCAGGCGCACCTGACAGGTTCAAGTCCTCGCTGTTCGGAGAGTTTGGGACGGGCACATTCTGATAAAAGGGCATACTCGCCCTGGCACATTTCAACAGAGAAGACAAAGACGGCGGAGAACCTAAATCAGCAGCAGGGCGGCCTTTCTCCCTCAAGAGAAAACACAACAAAAGAATCTCACTCAACCGAAGTTTACAAGTTTAACCCGCAATCGCTTTCAAGTTGTCACCACACACCAAAAAAAATAAAAAAATTGAATTGAAGACGTACTGATCAGGTGTCCAAATCTCTTACCTTCTCTCCCTGGGATGAGTTTCTCCCTCACAGAAGCAGTCCTTGACACCCGCAATTCCTACCCTTCCTGCGCCGTCGATTGGCAGCGGCTCCCAGAAAAGGTGATCTAGGTTTTGGAGCAGCAGCATGTCTCCGTCCAGATAGATCAATCGCTGATATTCATCGAATCCAAAAATCTGCAGCTTCGTGTAATTCCACGCATAATAACTGACTGCGAACACCTGTGCTTTACCTCCACGGGGCTGCGGCCACCAAAAGTTCCAAGCCGAAGACACACATAAGACCCACTGCCGGTCAGAAAACATAAGCACACTTAACCCGTTCCAAAACACATTCAAAAGCTCATATCGGCAGGTAGCCAGCCAGCCAAAGATAAGTACGGGAAAGCTCGCAGCACGTAACGGGCTTGGTACCGCTACTCTCGACATGCACAAAAGACAAATCATGGCAACGTATCATTCCATGTCCTAGGAGAAGATTCACTAACGATTTGCACATTTCGAGCGATTTGCACATTTCGTGAGTATTGGAGCGAGGCCCAATGTCCCGACTCGTAACTGACCACCTGTGCTTAACCTCCACGGGGCTGCGGTAATCAAAGCCGAAGATACATACAGACCCACTGCCAGTCAAAAGAGAAAACCATTTCACCAGCTCAAGAGTCAAAACACATATCGGCAGGAAAGCAGGCAGGCAGCCAAAGGCAAGCACGAGAAAGCACGCAACATGTAATCTCCCGACTCCCGCTCATTATGAACACTATGCTGGCAGACGAATCGCCCCGCAGCTCATCAATATCATTACATCGGGGTTCGAGAAGTCTCCAAGGAGCCTACCCATCTTTCCCCGAATGGAACGTACGGTCATTCGGCCTACGTACATTTCTTATGATTTCTATTCGCGTAGCCGCCTAAAGCCCCACACATACCCCCACGCGGATTCAACCAGGAAACACCACACACAGTAAAGTGCTCAAATATCACCTAGGGCCTCGCTCCAGTACTCACCAAATGTGCAAATTGAGAATGGATTTCCAGCTAGAACATGGAATCTCCGCCATACCTTTTGTGCATGTGAAGAGTAGTGGGGAGCGAGGCCCTACTGTAGCGCACAACCAACCACCTTCTGAAACGCACAACCAACCATCTTCATGCTTCAGTTCAGCTGCTGTACCAATCTCTCAACCCGTTTCACAACGTGCCGATTTTCTCCGGACGTCACAGGAAAAGGACGAAACAGAAGAAAGTCCGACGGCAGCGACGTGACGTACTCACAATAGGCTAAGAGTCTAACCGCGGCTCAATTCACAAAACACCTCTCGGCCTATCGTCTTCAGCTGAGTAGAACGCCCAATCATGATAGCTGTATTAGGAGCAACTTTTCAGTCCACGACTCCACATGCAGTGATAATGATCGGGCGTTGTATTCGGGTGAAGACCGTAGGTAGTGTCCACTTACCCAAGGTGCACGTATACTCCATCATCTAAGTACCGGGAGACCGTCCACGCGCATAGACCTCGACACGAACCGCACTTCCACATCCATACACAGCTACGGGCCCCGTAATATGTAGCATCTCCCCCGAATAAAACGTCCGCATAGCTGAATTCGGGGCAAATTTCATTCCAGATGCCCCGGCAATGACCCTACATTCTATTTGGGGGAAGACAAGTGTGAAGACTTCCGAATCCAGTGCAAGACGATACATGTATTCGAATAGAAATGAACCTATGCGTTGTATTCGTCTACAACGCATATGCGTTATGTAGAAATAAGAAGACTAACAAAATGAAAAGGAACTTTTGCACCAGAAGGTCTTTCTAATGGGACAAATCCACGGGTGAGGCAAAAATCAGAAGACACTACGTGTTGTACTCGAATAGAAAAAACCTATGCGCTGTATTCGTTTACAGCGCTTACGCATGATGAAGAAAGCAGAAAACAAAATTAAATGGAACCGAGTGCAACGTAAGGAAAATAATATATCGGAAAAAACCTCAAAATTTATAACATTTGACGTGGTAAGTGCACGCAAAACAGACCCCTATGTACGGGGGGTGTAGCAAATTTGAAACGAAGTTATCATCATACCAAAACTCGAAATATTCACCAGCTAAAGAACTCCAACAATTTGAGAATTACTCCGTTACAAATTTTCCCACAAGGTCCGCAGCTTTCGCCCACCAGGGTGACCCTTCCAAAAAACGGGCAAATCAAATCAACTGCCACTGCCTTCGTAGAGTCTTCAAGACTGCGGTCGACTTCAACATGTCTATGGTCCAAAGGCATTCGATTTCCCCCTTTTCATTAGCGTAACGTTGCTATCCTACAGACTTTTCCAAACAGTTAAAAAATTATGAAGTAACAATGTTGAGAAGTATAGTGACATCGGTTTAGCCTAAAGAACTGCACATACTGTCCAGCGTAACAAGCATGGAGAAGCACCGGCTCCTCACCCACTACCTACAATCTGAGGTGAAGTAATCAATTCACAGAAATTCACACAAACAGTTCACATAAATTCAACAAGATTGAGCAGCTCGACCCCGAATCAAAGAAGAAAATATCAGGTTTCACGACAATTCCAACAAGATTCATAAGAAACATCAGCCAGCCAAAAACAAACGGCAAGAGAAGGGTCAAACAACAATGCACATAAAGTGCAGCATGGAGAAACACCAACCAGTATCAAGTGATGCCTCAGAAACTCACCAATGAACATAAAGTGCAGCCTCGAAACATCGCGAGTACATGATATACATAATCATCATAATTACCTACCGGTAAACATGTCAGACGGTCAATCAACAGCGAAACCACTACAACAAAGGAAGAGTCGACTCGTGAAACCGACCATCCACAAAAACTATCAGCGACTTTCAAAATTTGCCTACATGTGACGAACCAGGGTCTGAACATGGACACCCATAGACAAAGCAGATGACAATGGCATTAAAAAAGGAAAAAAGAAAAACGTAATTCCGCATAACAATAATAACAAATATTATAGTAATAGTTAGCCTTCTCTGAGTTCTCTCACCCTGGGAGACTCGATGATCTCGACTTCTCTGATATCGCAGCCATGCTCCTTCAGTATCTCCCGATGCGCTTCAGGAACATCCGATCTGACGGCCACGATCAGTTTCACACGACTCCCCACTGCTCTCAGGCTCTTGACAACGGCCACCACACCTTTGTAGTAATCCGAACTTCCCATCAACAGCGCCACATACGCCACAGAATCGAACGGAGTTGACTTGGGGTAGGGAGACAGACGCCGCTCGTTGACTCGGCGGTCAGTATCGTCACCAAACGACAAGCCTGGGCCAGCAGGCCGAGAATTGAGCGCTTTCACACCGCTCGGAGAAGGAACACCCTCCTCTGTGTCCGGGAAGAGATCAAGAGGGGTCTGAGGAGAAGGCGGAGGTTTCATGCAAGCCTCCCACACCCCTCCTGCTCCTCCATTACGCCTTAATTTACCGGGAACCGATGACCGCAAGCCGTTGTCACCGCCGTTGGTCGCGGACAACTCAGGCTGCGCAAAACTCTCGGGAGTACCGAGACCGCTGCGACAAGCGGCATGATGGCTCCTAACTCGCGCTTTTCGTGGCTGCTGCATTTTCCCTTGCGGTGAAACGGGAGGGAGGGCAGCGGAACGGAGGCGCAAGACGGATGCGATGGCTTGTTCAGAAGAATCAGAACTCTCATCGACGTCGTAGGGTTCATTTCTCTCGTCTCTCCTTCTCATATCTCCCTCAGAAGATGAGTTTCTCTCGGAAGAATCACTCGCCGAAGATGAATTTCTCTCGGAAGAATCACTCGTACATCCGGCGATGCCTGGTGCACTCTGTCCATCACTCCGATCGGCCTCCTCCAGATTCTCCTCTTCCTCGTCCTCAGAGTCATATTTGGGTTGATGCTCAGTGGAAGGCGTTCTCCCTCGCTCCATGCTACAGTTCACGAGGAAGTCCATTTCCTCCACGCTACCGTTGAAGAGAAAGCCCAGGTTATACTCGTCAATCTCCTCATCGTTCTCCTCCTCTCTAGCTTCAACATCATCAGTGTCACCAAAACGACTGTTCCACATGAGACTCGGAAACGTCACAACTTCAAAGAACGACTCCAAACCGTAGTCTATGTCTGACTCATGCTCTTCCGAGTCGTCGTTATAACCCTCCTCCTCATCTAAAGAAGGGAGGGTCAAGGAAAGCTTTCGAGCGGCGGCTCCGTTTCCCAAGGACTGGGAGTGCAGACACTCTGCGTCCATGGTCTTCCCGCCAACTGCGCTGCTCGGACAACTCCTCTGAGTCACCATTTCGCTCTCCTCAATGCGAGAGACGCCGCCACCGTTGAATAGGAAGTCCAGGTTATACTCATCGTTCTCCTCACCGACCTCCTCTTCCTTGTTATAATCATCGTCCTCATGTAAAGAAGGGAGAGTCAATGAGAACTTTCGAGCGACACCGCCTCCGTTCTTCAAGGACTGCGATGGGAGACACTCTGGTGCCATAGTCTTCCCGCGAACAGCGGTCCTAGGAATACTCCTCTGGGTCATCACTTTAATCTCCTCCTCGTGAGAGATACCACCCTCCTCACGAGTGCTACTTCCCGCCATCCAGCGAGTTCAACCACCTGACGCTAGCCAATGATTTCAAACGTAAACCGTTCTACCTCAGCCCGTTTCACCTCACCCGTCAGCGAATCCAATCAGGCTGTGCTGTGTAGCAAATCAATCCAGTCGAATCGACCACCACCTCCCGCGGTCAACGCAAACCACACACGATGGTGGTCAATGAGTGGATCAATCACTGCCACCCGACCGCCGCCGGATTCGCAGTGCCGTCTGCGGTCAACTCAAAACCCCACGCTGGTGGTTAAACCTCCCGCCGTCTGCGGTCAAAGCAAACCCCACGCTGGTGGTCAATGACCGAATCGACTAAACCTCCCGCCGTATGCGGTCAACGCAAACCCCTGGCTGGTTGCTAATCCTCCCGTCGCCTTGGGTCAAGGCGAACCACACGCTAGTGGTCAATGACCGAATCGACCAAACATCCCGCCGTACGCGGTGAACGCAAACCCCACGTTGATCGCTAGTCCTCCCGTCGCCTTCCGACGAAGCGAACCACACGCTAGTGGTCAATGACCGAATCCGAATCAACCACACCTCCCGCCGTGTATGTCAAGCCCACACCCCACACGCTGGCTGGTGATAAATCCTCCCGCCGTATTCGGTCAAAGCGCATCACACGCGACCGGTCAATGACCGAACCGACCAAAACTCCCGCCGTCTACGTCAAGCCCACACCCCACACACACACTGGTCAGCGGCTCCGACCGCTATACGTGTCCAGAATCCGCAATTAAGTTCCGATCCTACTTCGGTATTTGTAGATAGCGCACCCACCACCTATTTCTGCCCTATGGTCAACGAGTGCGACAATCGACGTTGAGTCCCACTTACGCAAGAGCTCTAACCGTATCCTTCGGAGGATACTTCCCGCCCGCGCTCCTCTAATCAGACAAACGAGCGTAGACTAAAAAGCAACCAAGCTCGGAAGCTCGAACACAATACCCCGCGCACACAATACAACCCAGGCAAAATTCAGCACGGCGCACGCTGCATTAAGCATGCGCTTTGCGCGCTTTCTCCTGTGCATCAACTGACAGGTAGACCGTACCGCTCACCACCGGCCGCACACAATTGGAGCAGAACTCAGTGCTGCTCGTCAATTTGAAACTACATGAGCACAATGCGCACGCAGAGAGAAGGCGCGCTACCCGTAGCCGCTCGAAGTCCGCTGGGATTGCCGTCGACGTTACCCAAATACCGCGCCCCTGACCGTCTTCCCCAAACCTTGAGCCGTCAGCGTTCCACAGGCTCGTTCGTTTGCCCTTCGCGGAAAAGCCTGCATGGCGTATTGCTATACCATTCGTGGATGCAGCTCGCTCCTATATAGTTGAAAGACGTCAACCGCGTCCCATGCACAGCGACAGAGGCGATTCTTGCCTCTTTGTCCAAAAATACGCCGAACCACGCCCATCTAATCATCCGCTACCAATCATCGGACGCCAACTTTCCACGGACGCAAACGTTTCCTTTCCAAGCGTCGGCTTTCGGCATTGTGTCCTGTCGGCTGGTCGGTTTGCTGGGGTGAGCTGTGCCACCCTGTAACCCGCTACGTGGGAGGGTTTGAGGCCTAGTAGAGAGATCTGGGAAAAGGCCCGCGTCGCCAGGTGTCGCCAGGTGTGGTGCCAGGTATCTGGCCGAAAAGGCCTGCTCAGGTCCTACTGACATACCGCGAGGGGATGGGTACGCAGCCCGTAGGGTGAGCGTGAAGTTGTGATCAGCGGCACGGGGGAGAGGCCCGATGCAGCTGGAAGGGCGCGACGTCCTTGGCTTCGGCCGGTTGCGTCCAAGGGAAAGGGGTCATACCAGGTCATACACGGGGGAGAGGCCAGATGCAGCTGGAAGGGCGCGAGGGCCTCGTTCGACACCACTACAAAACCCTTACTTTGTAAGGGTGCCCTTACGGCGAAAAAGTGATTAATTTTCCCTTACCTCATTTTCCGTTCCACAAGCACTTAGGAAAACCCTACATTTAGGTGCACTTACATTTCAGGTGCCTCGGTTTGCGTAAGACACACCTGATGTTAAAAAAAATAAAAAATAAAAACGGTTGTTTCGTGGATGTAAGGGTGCCACCCCCTACTTTCAAGTCACCTCCACGGGCCTCCTTACATCAAGGTCCGTTTTGGCTGCGGAGTCCTTACTTTTGTAGGGCCAGCCCTTACAGCCGCGAATGTGAAAACAAGTTCGACTTCTTTTTCGTCGTGATTAGGGAGGGGTGGAACGATGAAAACCTTACTTGTAAGGGTTTTGTAGTGGTGTCGAACGAGGCCCAGAGTGCTGGCCGTAGACCTTGCTGTTACTTGATGGGGGCATGGGAAGTAGATGGGAGGCACAGCTACTGGCAAAATTTTTGGTCTTTGCATTAGCCGGCCCCCCCCCCACCAGCAGCCCCACCCTCCTCCCCAATCACCGCCGATTAGGGCGGGGGGCAACATGCATCCCCTTAATTGTGAGAGGTAGCTATGCTTGCAGGGGTTCCCTGTGTAGGCTTGGGAGTAGTAATGGGTAGTGAAAGGTGAAATTGAGAGAAAAATATCGCTTAATTAAAATAAAAATAAAAAACACTGGAGGTGCAGAATCTGGGTCTCGCTGCATGGCACATGAAACTCAAAAGAAGTGAGTGCGTCTTCCCACAGAGAATGGTATGATTCGTTCATTTGCGAATGTATTTCGCCACATACTCCGGGCAGATGTACTGTTCTGCGCCGTGTGCTATGCGGCAAGGCCCTTTGTGCTGGCGAACAGCGGGCAATGAATTTGCAAGTTGTTGTTTTCCCTTTGTGCCCCCCGGGACGCCATTCTGCGGCGTGGAAGGTAGGGAGGGCATTTATCTTATGGTGTGGAAGGTAGGGCCATTCAAAGAGCAATAGTTCATATTTTTGGAAGGAAAGTTTTGCAGTCGAGCAGGATGAAGGCGAGGAGAAGCACACCTAGACACAATAAGGAAAGGGCATTTTGAGCGAAAGCGACAACCAAGGCAGAGAAAGTGAGAACCATGACGTGGAGTAATAGAGGACTCGGATAACATGGGGAGGGATTCCGTAGACTAAGCCCAAACCTAGACAACAAATTTTGACCACAACAAATTCTATCATCCTTGTATTTTACTTGGATGCGGGACCCGATTTCCAACAGGTGTTGCTCGCCACCAATAGGTCCAGTCTTCCACTAAAAAATAAAAATAGAAAATAAAAAAAAGTGTGTGAGGTTATAATCCCCCAGAGGCAAGATAGACAGGGACCAGACTAGAGAAGGGAGAAATTGGTATAGCAAGCGTAGTGTTTAAATAACCCTGGTCGGGCCAATTCACCATTTTCATATGATTGTGATTGTTGCGGGTGAGGACCGTGAAGTATCATTAAAACATTTTGCATATATGGACTTTGATTTGTAGACCTTTTCACCTACATGAACCTGAAATTGTACGCCCATTCATCTAAAACTTCTTTGAGAACTTATGCTTGACTTTTAGGTTGGAGTGCATCCAAGTTTTATAAACATGATATTCGTCATGGAGAGAACGAGCAAGTTTTCCCTATAACTCATTAACAAGGCATTGAAGGTAGAATTAAAGGAAGCAGGGAGACATACGCAAAACAAGTAAAGTTTGTTTGATTCATTAGTTAGTATATTTGTCAACTTTTAGGATAAAGCATTATTAAAACACTTCATCTGTATGAAGTTCGATTTGCAAATTCAATCATCAAAATGTTTTTTGTGAACTTGAGAGATTGTTGAATTCAGGGTTCAATGGACGTCAACTTAAGAAAGCACCTTGTGTAGTAAAGACAGATAAAGGAACGTATTGTTTGGGTGCCCAGTATGGTTATGCAACGTGGTTTTGTGCATGCGTGGTTACCCACCACTGATTATCTGAGCAGCGGTAGAAGGGAGATAAGGGATGAGAAAAATATCTCAATGTAATAACCAAGGCATATTTCAAAGTAGACATGAAAAGGACAACGTAGCACATCACAAACCAATATTTTAAAACGAGAACCAGTCACTTTTGTTTTGTGTAATCTACAAGTGAATTTTGTATAACAGTGAGTTTAGTTACATGCACAACAACGTTATATGTGAATAGCATCAAAGTTTTTTGCAGTAAGTACATCGTGCAATTATATGTGACTTCGCTATTAATACGAATTCGAAGTGTTAAGAGCAACACCCTCGTCAGATTAGTATGATAAGTAAGAAAGTGTGACTTTATACTTTTATTTCCTACCGTTATCTGTTAGGCAACATAATCGTCGAGCCATACTGATAACCAGAGTTGCCAGGCCGAACGTACGGAGGCCCCTAAGCTGACCCCCGAACGTTCGGGCGTTCGGGTCCCCGTACGGGGCCCGAACTTGAAGGTGTTCGGACCCCGCAAAAAAATATTTTGGTACCTAAACATTATTATTTTTTTCTGATTATTTTTTTGTGAGTTCTCTGTTATGTAAGCTACCTGTATCTCAATTTTGAAGTCCTTATGTGGAGCCAAACAATAATGAAAAATTGGCAAAGATGGTGGTGTCAAAACTTGTTTTCCCACTTACTAATTTGTTTTTTTGCTCTTTTCACTTTTTGTTTTCCCTTTCTTTCGGGGCCTGAAAAACATTATTATTTTTTCAAACTTTATTTGTAGGTTCTCTATTATGTAAGATACATATGTATAAAATTTCATGGCATTTGACAAATCCAAAACAAAATGAAAAATCGCCAAAGATGGCGGTGTCAAAAATTTGCTTGCCCACGCAATAATTTCATTCTCGTTTTATTTTTTCTTATTTTTATTAATATTATTTATTTTTCGTATTTGATTTTTATTTCAAATTTGGTAAGGAATTTGGATGTACTGTTGGGGCAAATGTTGTTTACTTTATTTTTCTGCATGACATATTGTTTTTTCAGAATTTTTGGAAACTTTTTGTTTTGTTTTTTTCTAGGTTACCGGGCCGGACGTCCGGGACCCCCCTGACTGTTCGGGATGTCCGACCTGACGTCTGGTCGGACGTCGGACCGGACAGGGTATGTTCGACCTAGCGCAGAAAAAAAAAAAAAAAAAAAAAAATCATGTGGCTTCCACCTTGCATTAGGTGTATGCCACCAAATTTTTGGATTATTTGGGCCAGTAGAATAAATAATAAAAATGTTTAAAGATTCATTCCCCATCTATACCCCTCCTATCCCCACCAA